AAAAAAGATAATTTATAAATCACCAGGTACCAATGGACTTGGATGAAAAAATAATGTTTCTTTAGGCAATGCATTGGATAAATGTCTCAGATAATACTGAATTTTGTTCAATGGTGAGCTGTACTGTATCTACTTCTGGGTATTACATTTGAAAAGAGTAGCATTACACTAGAGTATGTTCCAAACAGAGTGACCAAGATAGTGAGAAAACTAAAGTGACCTATTGCCAGTTTGCCGGGGATTAAGGGAGTTCCCAGGATACAGGACTTTTAGTACTAAAACCAAAAAATCAAACCAAAACAAGTTGGTAACCCTGGGGAGAACTTGAAGCCATGTTTTAGAAAGAAATGCTAAAGGGTTTCAGCAATTTATCCTGGAGAAGATTCTGGAGAAGGCATGATAAATTCTTCTGAGTATACTTAAAGACTTGCTTTCATTTTCTTCTGTATAGCCCCAGGAAGTTACAAGGATCAATAGGTAACATTACACGTTTAGGTTTAATATAAGAAAAAACTATTTAAAGTCATACCAGCCTAAAGATGGAATGGGATAAAACAAGAAGTAGACTTTGATGAAAATCCCCAAATAACGCAAAGCATTCTGTGTAAAGATATATCGTAAATGTTGTGGAGAGGATTCAAATTTTTGAAGTACGAGAAAGGGTTTGGATGATATGGCCTTTAGGGTCCCTTCCAATTCTGTTTTTAATGTCTATGATTCTGTAGGGTCATAAAATATTTTGATATGAGGAAGTTTGAAAATCTTACATTCATTATCAAAAAAGTAATAGAAGAATTTTAAAATAGCAAAATAAGGAGAGCCATATGGCAGGAGAGAAACCAAAATTAATCTGAGGTTAGTGTAACAAGTGATGTAAGCTGTCAAGTCACTTTTGAAGCAGCCTCGGATAAGAGATCAGCCATGGATGAAGAAAGACCATTTTAGAAGAGAATGAGAAACAGTCGCTGAGGATGGTAAAGTAATTCAAGCATTAAATTAATTCTTACATGTTTACCAAAAGGATGACAAAAAATATGCCTATTCCTCTGTGCCTCAAGAAAAGTGTTTAAGTCACCAGGGTGACTGAAATGCCAAGTATCCAGACAAGATCAGTGACAAGTATTAACCCTAAGTTTGCCTGCACCAAATTTCTGTACCATCTAAGAGAGAAACTTTAAGCTTGTCCTTGACACATAGTATTTGGGTTACGTATCACCAGGAATGGGCAAAATGGAAGTCAGAGTCATGCCCAAAATAGTTCCATCTGTCTGGAACCAATCAGTTTTAGTGCCCACAGGGCAGAACAGCCCTTCACGAGATTGAATGAAAAAGAACTGGGTCAACTCCAGATCCTGAGGCACTGATACAAACCTAAATGTCATTTCAAAACCTTGTTTTCATAACAGTTTACATACATTTGCTAATTTATAAAACTTTCCCACTCCTATTTCCTTATCTATATTAACATAAGTTTTATATTCAAAATAATCAAGGCATGAAAGCATATTACAGTCTGCTACAAATAAAGTTACAAGGACAGAAAAAGTTACACTTATTGGATACCCACTGAATGCACAGTTTTGTACTAATTATTATGGAGATATAAAGAAAAAAGTACGTGCAACCTCTGATTTCAATGAACTTGCAGTTCCTGGACCAAGATATCATACAATATTCCAATTTGTTGAGCACTCATTCACTAAGGGATTTGGTACATTCACACAGTGTAATTCACTCAATCAATCGATCAAGCATTTAACGTGGACATTGTCCACATTTTACAGGTGACGCAATGTGAACTGTCCATATGATAACAATATATACCTTTTGGCCCTGGATAGTCTGAGCTTACACCTGTTTGTTTGATGTAGTTTTGAATGATATCCTTTTTCATTCTCCAAGATCCCCAATTTGGATTATAAATTATATAGTCACCTCAATTATCACAGTAGTAGATGGCAAACCTGAGATTAAAATTATGGTCTGCTCCAATGGAATAGAATAGAAACCCCAGAACTAGACCCACAAATGTATGGCCAACTCATCTTTGACAAAGCAGGAAAGAACATCCAATGGAAAAAAGACAGTCTCTTTAACAAATGGTGCTGGGAGAACTGGACAGTAACATGCAGAAGGTTGAAACTAGACCACTTTCTTACACCATTCACAAAAATAAACTCAAAATGGATAAAGGACCTGAATGTGAGACAGGAAACCATCAAAACCCTAGAGGAGAAAGCAGGAAACGACCTCTCTGACCTCAGCCGCAGTAATTTCTTACTTGACACATCCCCAAAGACAAGGGAATTAAAAGCAAAAATGAGATATTGGGACCTCATGAAGATAAAAAGCTTCTGCACAGCAAAGGAAACAATCAGCAAAACTAAAAGTCAACCAACGGAATGGGAAAAGATATTTGCAAAGGACATATCGGACAAAGGGCTAGTATCCAAAATCTATAAAGAGCTCACCAAACTCCACACCCAAAAAACAAATAATCCAGTGAAGAAATGGGCAAAAAACATGAATAGACACTTCTCTAAAGAAGACATCCAGATGGCCAGCAGGCACATGAAAAGATGCTCAACATCGGTCCTCATCAGGGAAATACAAATCAAAACCACACTCAGATATCACCTCACGCCAGTCAGAGTGGCCAAAATGAACAAATCAGGAGACTATAGATGCTGGAGAGGATGTGGAGAAACGGGAACCCTCTTGCACTGTTGGTGGGAATGCAAACTGGTGCAGCCACTCTGGAAAACAGTGTAGAGGTTCCTGAAAAAATTAAAAATAGGCCTGCCCTATGACCCAGCAGTAGCACTGCTAAGAATTTACCCAAGGGATACAGGAGTGCTGATGCATAGGGGCACTTGTACCCCAATGTTTATAGCAGCACTCTCAACAATAGCCAAATTGTGGAAAGAGCCTAAATGTCCATCAACTGATGAATGGATAAAGAAATTGTGGTTTATATACACAATGGAGTACTACGTGGCAATGAGAAAGAATGAAATATGGCCTTTTGTAGCAACGTGGATGGAACTGGAGAGTGTGATGCTAAGTGAAATAAGCCATACAGAGAAAGACAGATACCATATGTTTTCACTCTTATGTGGATCCTGAGAAACTTAACAGAAACCCATGGGGGAGGGGAAGGAAAAAAAAAAAGAGGTTAGAGTGGGAGAGAGCCAAAGCGTAAGAGACTCTTAAAAACTGAGAACAAACTGAGGGTTGATGGGGGGGTAGGAGGGAGGGAAGGGTAGGTGATGGGCATTGAAGAGGGCATCTTTTGGGATGAGCACTGGGTGTTGTATGGAAACCAATTTGACAATAAATTTCATATATTAAAAAAAATTATGGTCTGCTGATTATTGGTGCTCTTTTGAACCTGATCTTAAATTAGATATACTATAATAAGAATATGACAGAAATCAATTGCTATCTTCTGAAAGTCTACTGCTAACATTGCCACTTACACACAATTACTCACACATCTTCACGTAAGCACTCCTGTCCCTGTGTGGCCTATGCTACCTGCTCGGTTATCCTCATCTGTTCTTTCCTACCTGTATAATAGCTACGAGCACACAATTCAGCTTCGGACTATAGGAACTCAACATTTGTGTTGTTCACACATCCAAATCCCTGGCTTCGGCTTTCTTGACTCTTTAAACTCACAATCAACCCACATAAGACAATCATTCTTGTGACCCTTTATTGGATAGAAAATGATTATCAGGAAGTATTCCACCTGTTATACATATATATTTAATGTTTTTTTATTTATTTTGAGAGAGAGAGAGAGCGAGCAAGCAAGCATGAGCTGGGGAAGAGCAGGGAGAGGGAGAGAGAGAGAACCCCAAGCAGGCTTCATGTTGACAGCACAGAGCTCATGAAACCCACAAACCATGATGAGATTATGACTTGAACTGAAATCAAGAGTCAGATACTCAAATGACTGAGCCACCCAGGTGCCCCTCAGGAAGGATTCCAGTTCTTAAAAAAAACTAAAGGTCCAATACCACTCATATACCAAAATTTCCTTCTATTGCAACTATCGTGCCATCATTCCTGCCTAACTAACTTCAGTCTCATTCATAGTTACTTTCTGTTTCTTGACTTACATGTTTTCTTCCAGATAATCAAACTAATTCTGGCCTCACTTTCTTTTCTACTCCACCTAAACTCCATGAAAAATCTCATCTGTTTCTATGACTTTTATATACATATTTAAACAATATGAAAACAGAGTCATAGGTTTGTAGCCAAAGCACCTCACATAAAAATCTGGGTTATAAGGGGTACTCAATACATATATGTAGAATAAGGGAATTATGACAAGGTGATTACCTACTGTATGCTAAATTTTCTCCTTCCAGTTCTCATATTGGCGTTACGAATAGCATATCTGAAAAGGGCTAGCTGGTATAGCACTGGACTAATGAGGCTACAATAATCAGTCAAATCCTCAGGAAAACAATCTTCCTTAGAACTACTACATGAAAATAAAATAATATCCTAATCTTTGATCAGCTATGCCATTTACTATTACTTTTATGATTGGGTTTTTATAATAGTAGTTATACTTCTTTGTATTCTTTCCTAGGTATTAAGCAACTTATTTTAACTGTTGGCCAGTAGGTCTACAGTAGCTCCTGGCCTTTGGGCTCATGGTGTAAACAACAGGATGTCCTATAGGAATAGTCAACTTATGTAACAGTCAGCATTACATGTTCCATATAAGAGGTGCTCCATAATTCACTGATGGATAAGCATATTTTCTCACCCACACATGCACTGAAAAAAATGTCATTATATAAAAAAAGCCAAATGGAAATATTTTTTAAAAATTTGTTTTTAAAAAGTTTATAGCATTCATTCATCAGCCAGTATTTTCAAAATATAAACACCTTCATATAATGAAATACATTATATATAAACATTTGACTAAAATAACTGTAATAAAGTAGGCCTTGTGAAATTTATTTTTCACTCACCTTGAAGTTTTCTTCAAGTCCAGATTTGTTGGTAGTTCTGCAGGCTCTCTCCAGTTTTACTTCATTAGTCTTCGTAGACTTATGTTTCTAACATTGGCAGCCTAGTGACTTTCAGAACAATCCATCTACTGAGGACACCAAGAAAATCTAGATAAAACATAAAAATAACACTTTGATATAAAATAATATAATGTAATGTAAATTAAATACAGAATGTATATTTAATTTTTCCATAAAAACTACAAATTTTAGTTCAGGATGAATAAAAGAGGATTCCAGTAAACACCTAAGATTTTCAGTAGGGAATTCGGAGGGCTACATTCCAGGGTATAGACCAGACAAGCCCTCACAAGGGGACTCAAAGAAATCTGGGATTGTTAGTGCCTTCACTTAACTATTTGCCAGAATGAAAATTAAGTCATTTTTGGAGGATGAGAACACTGTGCCAAACCTCAAATTTATCTAACATTTTATACACAATTCTTTGGCTTTAAGCAAAATATAAGCAACTATACACAAATAAAGAATTTGAGAAATTAAAGAAAAAATACACCCTGCCAACAGACAAATAGGAGATTTATATATTGGAATTATCAATTATGACTTCTATAGTTAAGGAATATAAAGAAAAAATTTAGAAATTGGCAGAAGGAAAAAAACTGGCAGAAAGCTAAAACTAAAAACTAAGAATCATATGGAAATTCTGGAATTTAGAGATACACTAATTCAAGTAAGAACTCAAAAAATAGGTTTAAGGATACTATACATAGAAAATCCTAAAGACCACCAAAAAGCTAGTAGAAATAAAAAACGAACTCAGTAAAGTTGTAGCATACAAAACTAATACCCAGAAATCAGTAGTGTTTCTATACACTAATAACAAAGTAGCAGAAAGAGAAATTAGAAAAACAACACCATTTATAAGTGCACCAAAAAGAATAAAATATTTAGGAGTAAACTTAACCAATTAGGTCAAAGACCTGTCCTCTGTAAACTATAAAACATGAAAGAAATTGAAGATGACACAAATAAATGGAAAGATATTCCATGTTGGTGAACTAGAAAAATTAATAATGTTAAAATGCTGATATTACCCAAAGCAATCTACAGATTCAATGAAATCCCTATTAAAATATCAACAGCATTTTCACAAAGCTAGAATAATACTAAAATTTGTATGGAACTCCAAAATACCTCTAATAGCTAAAGCAATCTTGGAAAAAAAAAAAAAAAAAAAAACAAGCTGGAGGCATCACAATTTTAGATTTCAAGATACATTACAAAGCTGTTGTAATTAAAACAGTATGGTACTGGCATAAAAGTAGACACATATATCAGTATAAAAGAATAGAGAGTCCAGAAAGAAACTTACAATTATTTGGTCAATTAATATATGACAACAGAGGCAAGAATATACAATGGTGAAAAGATAATTTCTTCAATAAATGGTGCTGGAAAAACTGGACAGCTACATGTAAAACAATGAAACTGGACCACCTTTTAACACCATACACAAAAACAAACTCAAAATGGATTAAAGACCTAAATGTGAGCCCTGAAACCATAAAAACTGTACAAAAGAGCACAGGCAGTAATTTCTCTGACACTGGTTGTAGCAACATTTTCCTAGATGTGGCTCCTAAGGCAAGGGAAACAAAAGCAAAACTAAATTATTGAGACTACATCAAAATAAAAAGCTTTTTTTTTTTTTGAAATCTTTTTTTTTTTCAACGTTTATTTATTTTTGGGACAGAGAGAGACAGAGCATGAACGGGGGAGGGGCAGAGAGAGAGGGAGACACAGAATCGGAAACAGGCTCCAGGCTCCGAGCCATCAGCCCAGAGCCTGACGCGGGGCTCGAACTCACGGACCGCAAGATCGTGACCTGGCTGAAGTCGGACGCTTAACCGACTGTGCCACCCAGGCGCCCCAAAATAAAAAGCTTTTGAAAAAAATGTTTTAATAAAAATATATAGGAAAAATAAAAAGCTTTTTCACAGCAAAGGAAACAATCAACAACAGAAAAAGGCAACCTGTGGAATGGGTCAATATATTTAAATTATATATCTAATCAGGGGTTAGTTTCCAAAATATATAATGAAAAATAATTACACAACTCAACTCCCCCAAAAACCCAGACAATCCAACTAAAAAATGGGCAGAGGACCTGAACAGACATTTTTCCAAAGAAGACACACAGATGACCAACAGACACATGAAAAGATGTTCAACATTACTCATCATCATGGAATGTAAATCAAATCAACAATCAGATACCACCTTATGCATGTTAGAATGGCTAAAATCAAAAAGACAAGAAGTAACAAGTGTTGACAAAGATGTGGAGAAAAAGAAACCCCTGATTGGTGTACGAATGTAAATTGGTGCAGCCACTGTGCAAAACAGTATGGAGGTTCCTCAAAAAATTAAAAATAGAAATACCACCGGGTGCCTGGGTGGCTCAGTTGGTTGAGCATCTGACTTCAGCTCAGGTCATGATCTTGCGGTTTGTGAGTTTGAGCCTCACATCAGACTCGCTCGCTGCTGTCAGCACGAAGCCAGCTTCAGATTCTCTGTCCCCCTCTCTCTGCCCCTCCCTTGTTCACACTCTCTCAAAATAAACATTAAAAAATAGAAATACCATGTGATCCAATAATTCCACTATTGTGTATTTACCTGAAGAAAATGAGAACAGGAACTCAAAAAGATATATGCACCCCTATGTTTATTAAAGCATCATGTATAATAGCCAAGATATAGAAGCAACTTGAATGTCCATCAATAGATAAATGTTTATGCAGCTATAGAAAAGATGAGATCATGTTATTTGAGACAACATAAATGGACACAGAAGGTACTATACTAAGTGAAATAAGTCAGATTGACAAAGACAAATACCATATAATTTCAGTCACAAGTATAATCTAAATGATACAAATGAATAAACAAAAAGCATATATATGTATATATATATACACACACACATACATATAATCATATAGATATATAAACCATGATATATAACAATATATAACATACATATACCCAATACCACAACAATACATAGATAGACATATAACAATCATAAATATGTATGATTGGAAAGGAGAAAGAAAAGTGGGCAAAAATAACAATGAAGATGTAACGTCTGAAAATATCCCAAACAGATAAAAGACATTAAGCTACAAATTCAAGAAGTACTATAAATCACAGGAATATGAATACAAATAAAATGATATATAGACACATCATAAGGAAACTAGTAACAATCAAAGACAAAGGGAATATATTAAATCTAGCCAGAGAAAAGACACTTTGGCTTCACAGGACTAACAAAATGACTATAGATAACTTATTAACTGAAACAGTGTAATAACATGTCCAACGTTCTAAAAGAAAATAGTTGTTAACCTATATTTCTATAAGTAGCAAGAAGAGACTTTAAAATGTAGGTTTAAAAGTCTCCTTCTGACCTAGATGGAATAGCAGGTATCAAACAACCCCAAGAAAACATTATAATGTTCAGAGTTCAGCAAAGGCAGCTAGTACTTGAGGCATCAAGCTCAAGGGAGAATGAAGACACATTGAAGGAAACTCTAAAATTATGGCTATTTGACTTCTTAGGACATTTGCCATTTCTTGCAAGGAACATGAAAGCTAACAGAATGCAGATTTCTTGAGCTTGCAGCAGTCTCTCTGGGCTTATAACACAAATATTTGCATTTAGGGCTACTAAAAAAGCCATAATCTAAGGGACAACAGTTCAGAGAAAAGGGAATTACAGAGAAGTAAGTCTAACATACTATGCATACTTTTCCTTTGAAACAATTTTATGAGTCATAAGCTGCACTTGTGAAGAGGGTTATTCTGAAAAACCAAACAAAAAGTACCTGTAAGAGGAGATAAAATACAGAGTTCAGGGCCTACAAAGGAAAAAGTAGCATGGTAAATGACCAAGGCTTTTTGCTAATACTCTAAAAAGGATATATCCTAGAGAAAGATCAAAATGTAAACAGACCAGTCTCAATACGATCTAGGTAATTTGACCATACTCTATCTTCCTGCAAGAATAAAGGTGTATCTTCTCTAAGGGAAGACAATAGGATCCAGAGCCTCTTAATTTTTACTTGTATAATGTCTACTATTCAACATAAAATTGACAGGCATGGCATGAAACAGGACCAATGACTGAAATCCAAGAGAAAAGATGGTCAATAGAAACACAACCACTGGTAAACCAGATACTGAAGCTATCAGATTCAGATTTATGAAGAACTATGATGAGAATCTTCAAGTATATGGACAAAAAGATGGAAATTTTCACAAATAAATAATAAAAATAATCAGATGAAAATCTTAGAAATAAGCTTTAAAATGAATAAAAATTAAAATAACCCAATTAAGAATTTGATTGATTTAACAGCAGATCATACATAGCAGAATTGACAAATACTAAACTGGAAGACAGGTTTGTAAAAAAGGTACAGAGTAAAGCATAGGAAGGAAAAAAAGAAAAATATAAAAGGTCTATTATATGTGTAAATGGAATCTAAGAAGAGAAGAGAGAGAATGGATCAAAAGAATATTTAGAATGATATCAGCCAACAGCTTTCTGATAGTTTTCCAAAGGTGATTAACACAATCAACCATAGATAAGAGGGTATCTATGAACACAAGCAGTATATATATCTATATACATGTACACACACACACACACACACAGAGCACATGACAGTAAAACTTCTATAAATCAAAGACAATGTTTAAAATTAGCCAAAGGATTGTTTTTAAAGTTCCATTACATTCCAAAGAGCACCAATAAGACTAACAGCTGGTTGTTTTTTTTTTTTTTTTATTTTTTATTTTCTAGGAAAGCCTAAAGGAAGAATAATATAGTTCTTTAAGGGACTGAAAGCAAATACCTACAAACTCACCATACAATTTACAATGAAAATATCTTCACACATGCAAGCAAAATAAAACATCTTCAGACAAACAAAAGCTCAAAGAATTACTAGCAAATTTGCACTAAAATACATACTAAAAAGGAAATATTTATGGGACAGAAACAATCTAAGATAGAAGTACAGCAATGCAGCAAAGAATGACAACTCCTGGGGCGCCTGGGTGGCTCAGTTGGG